GTTCCCTCTATATTCTATACCGTATGTTCCATGGGGAGTGCTCTGAGGAATTGTTCGAGATGATACCGACATCTCGTTTTTACCATCGCACCGTCCGCCACCGGAGTAGAGTTCATCCATACTACCTGGAGCCACTACGTTCATCCACAGTGCGTTTCGAGAGATCTTTTTTGCCACGTACCATCCGGCTATGGAATGAGCTCCCCTCCACGATGTTTCCCGAGCGCCATGTCCTTCTTTAAACGAGGCTTGTGGAGAGTATTAAACGGTAGGCAGCGGCTTGGCTCTGCCCCTGGCATTGCTGACGTCCATGAGCGACGGTAACCACTCACCATCAGGTGGGCCGTATGCTCGTCTGCCTATGCGGCAATAAAAAAGAAAAAAAAATATTTCGCCATTCTAGCATATTGGCGTATATAAAAATGTTCATAAAAAACTCTAGACAATTTACTATAACAATGTTTCGAATGGAAACAACCAAGAATACATCGTCCAATTGAGCTTGTTTCATCTCTGCATATAACTAAATTATGTCTTCAAAATTATATGCGAAATTTATACTCGACGAGATTCCCTAACATCAAAACTAACAAGAACAATAATGTAAAATATCTACATACGTGATCTGCTTACTAATAACTAAGGCGGGACTTTGCCATTGAGGTGCGTGGACGACAAAACCAGCCTTATTCAAATTAAATATAGAAAATCGATTTGAAGAATTGAAATTCCTCAATTATTCGTGACACGTTTCTGTTGAATAGATAGATCGTTCGACGGCCCAGTTAGTACTTAGTAGTCATCGGAGACCATAGATGTTACAAGTAAATGCCGCCGCTCATTTCTAAGCTCGAAGTGGATATCTCAGCGATATTTTATTAACAATCCTGACCCTTCGTTCGGTCTACAAACCGCCCTATGAGCAATACCGACAAAATTATCGCCAATTTTTTTAAGGTGACTATGTGTGTATACTTAGAGCTCCGCCACCTCCAGATCTACTGACCTCGTGATCGATTTAAAAATTACGAGACCGTAGATTAAAGTGCAACCTCAAAGTTCTTGATGTTTGATTGCAGATTTACCATAAGAAGGGATTATTCAGCCTTTGTAATTCTTGTTTAAAATCCTATTGACTAATAATAATAATAAGCCTTTATTGCTGTTTTACTTACTAATTACTAATTTAATACATTACTTAATAATAAATTAAATTTCTGTGCAATTTATAATCAAATATTCCGTTAGGCGTTCGGTGTGGTTTTAAAAACAGCTTGTCTCTCGACAAAGGCCGCCTCTAAAGATTGCCAATATTCTCGATTTTTGGCCATTCGACTCCAATGCGGGCCGGCTACACTCTTTATTTCATCTTCCCAACGTTTTGGCTGTCTTCCTTTTTTTCTACAGCCATCCCGTGGGTACCACTCTGTAATTATTTTGGTCCATTTCTCGTATTTCTCTCTTAAGATATGTCCTGTCCATCTCCACTTCAGCGTTCTACTTATTTGGATTGCGTTTTTAAATTTAGTAAATCTTTTTATTTCCGACAATCTCATTTTGTCTCTTCTCTTGACACCAGTGACACTTCTTTCTATGTTGTTCTGACATACCTGTATTTTATTTATTAATTTTTCGGTTAACGCCCATGTCTGGCAACCGTACGTCAAACAGGGTAGGATGCACAAGTTAAAGATTTTTCTTTTATCTTTTATGGACATCTCTTTGTCCTTTATAGCTTCACTAAGGGACCAACACCTCTTCCATGTGTTGGCAATTCTTCTATCAATTTCCTTTTGCATGTTGTCAGTGGCGGAGATCAACTGTCCTAAGTAGACATACTCGTCAACGTATTCTATGTGTTTAGAGTTTAATTTTACGTTGTATACCTTTGAAGCTAACTACTAGGGAATTTAGTGCAGTGGTTTCCCGTCAGGAACGAAACCGTGCTTCAGCGCGTTCATATGTCCCGGAAAATGCTGCCTGCTATCAAAAAGCGCAAGATAGAGTATCTCGGCCACGTGCTCAGGAACGATCGATACATGCTGCTGCAGTTGATAATTATGGGCAAAGTGGACGGAAAGAGACGTGCTGGGCGAAGAAAGAAATCATGGCTCCGGAATATCCGGGAGTGGACCGGNAGTTGATAATTATGGGCAAAGTGGACGGAAAGAGACGTGCTGGGCGAAGAAAGAAATCATGGCTCCGGAATATCCGGGAGTGGACCGGTATTGCCTCCGTCGAACAGCTGTTCCGGCTGGCTGCAGATAAAAACGAATATAGAAAGCTAACGGCCAACCTTCAGGATTGAAGAGGCACTGGAAGAAGAAGAAGAAGAATGCCTTTGAAGAATTTGTCATAAGCTTCGTTTTTGTGGGATTTATTGAGAGCCCGGCTTTAGCACTTTGATCTGATAGTTGCTGTAGCATTTCCTCTAATCTTTTCGGGCACTCTGAAAATAGAATCAGGTCGTCAGCAAAGCGAAGGTGGTTTAAATTTTCCCCATTTATATTGAGTCCATTATTTGCATTCCATTCGAGATGCCTGAATATCATCTCCAGAACTGCTGAAAATAGCTTAGGTGATATGGGATCTCCTTGTCTAACACCTCGTTCAGTTGGGAATTCCTCACCTGTTCTTTCGAATCTAATTTGTGCGGTACTCCGGGAGTATACCTTTTTGAGAATATTTATATATGTTTCTTCTATTCCCTGACTGTGTAATGTAATAGATTTTATTGTATTCCTGATATTTTTGTAAAATTTGTCTTAGAACATGAATGTGGTCTATTGTGGTCTTCTGAATCCAGCTTGCTCCTTTGACTGATTTTCATCTAGTTTTACCGTTACACGAGCTAATATTATTGTTGAAAAAATTTGATATATATTCGACATTAAGCTAATTGGTCGATAGTTCCCGATTTCGCTTTTATCCCCTTTTTTGTGCAGTAGTATTATCGTCGATCTTGTCCAGTCATCTGGGATGTCTTCGGTCTCCAAAATTTCATTAAATATATTTGTTAATATAGGCGCGATAGTCGGTAAAATAAATTTGAGAAGTTCATTGACTAATAGCCATGTATTAGTTACACTAGATGATGACTAGTTTTTTTGATAACGCCATTTTGTTGTGTCTTTAAAGCGGTTAGTTGCCCTCAATTAAGAAAAATAGTGTTATTATTCGCCAATAGATGGCGGGAAGAGTTGATTATTGAAAACACGAATAAAACAACATTTTCTGAAAATAAATCGTAGCTAGATCGATTTATCGCCCCCGAAATCCCCTGTATACTAAATTTTATGAAAATCGTTCGAGCCGTTACCGAGATTCAGATTATATACATATATATTAATATACAAGAATTGCTCGTTTAAAGGTATAAGATGAGATCCAAAGGACCTTAGGGAATATATAAGTATATTTTAATACTTCCTTTTCCTTAATGCTATTTTTATGGTTTTAATTTCACTTTATTGTCATTATATTAACAATGACGATTGACGACCACTAGTCCGTGATCACGTAAAGGCAGTTTTGCTATGTCTACGACTCAGGGAAACCGAAGAAAATATACTTCCTCTTCCATTGATATTTTTCCTTCTTTTATTTATTTATTGCTTAGATGTATGACTCACAGCCCTCTTGTTGTTGAGTGTTTACCGGGATTTATTTCGTGTTTGCGTGACGAGTGGTAAGTTATTGAGTTTTTTATTAACTGTATGTAAAGATATAACATATTTACCGTATTTTTGTTGTGCTAAATACGCTTTTTATACTTCTTTCTTAATATACACCTGTAGCCTTCCTTCCACCACTAAAGTGGTGGTCATTAATACATATCTCAAGCTTCTCAAAAAACAGATGGTTCCGTAACTTTTGGTTGCTACTTAAAAAAATCTACAGGGCGCTCTCCGTTGATCTACAATTATCAAATTAGACAAGAACGTGGGCTTTGAGTTTTGATTAGGAATAAATAAGTAAATATTTTATTTTATAAATCTCGTGAAGAAAATTGATTTCCTTTATCACTTTTCCCGCGCTTGCGCTGTTTGAACAGCAGTTCGAATTAATGTAGAATGTCAATAAAACGGCGGTGACCGAGATGAAGAAATCTGCAATTATTAAATTAATATCTATGTAGAATTTTGAACGAATTTACTATAAAATAGACTGTATATGTCGTTTTTTGTTTTTACGAGCAACATATTGAAGTCTTATTTAAAACTAATATCAATAAGTTTTTTTATTTATTCCTTAGATGGGTGGACGAGCTCACAGCCCACCCGGTGTTAAGTGGTTACTGGAGCCCATAGACATCTACAACGTAAATGCGCCACCCACCTTGAGATATGAGTTCTAAGGTCTCAGTATAGCTACAACGGCTGCCCCCCCGTTCAAACCGAAATGCATTATTATTGCTTCACGGTAGAAATAGGTAAGGCAGCGGTACCGCCGGCACCCACTCGTGCGGATTCGCAAGGGGTCCTAGCATCAGTAATTAAGCAAATTATAATTTTGCGGGTTTTATTTTTATCACACGATGTTATTCCTTCACCGTGGAAGTCAATCGTGAACAATAAAATCAATCAATTTTACAATAAAATTTTTTTTTCTTACTCTATTTTTAATTCAAATTTGTTAAAATTTATTTTCTATATTTAGTTAGATTTTTTATAAAAGCGTATTTTGTTAGTTTTTTTAAACTATTATTTATTTTCATTCTTTGGTTGAATTTAAATTTTTGTTTTTTTTTTTTCAAAGATTCCTTTACATACTAACATACGTCTGTAACTAATAAAAACGTATTAAAAAATACATAACCAAATGAAAAAACAAGAACTCTCGTAATTTAAAAATGGCTTAGGCTGTCCTGATTAGTAGAAGACCGTAATAAATTATACACTATATCGCTATATCATTAGATTTCATTTTTCCAGTTATATGTTTATGATCACCAAGATGAGATCACGTTGCTGGATAGTCCGATCACGTTGACACCAGGTGCCTATTTCGACGTGAACGTATATCTGTGGGCTATTGATTCTTCACCCTTTGTTGCTGCGCTGCCCATGAGCGTTAGGAAGTGCATTGCTGCAAGTGTGAGTATTGTTTGGAACTGATTCTATTTTTAAACGGATTCTTATCACGATTTTTAAGTTTGATAAGGGTTAGGGTACACTAAATGTGATTATATCCGAAAACTATAATCATGCTGAGAACGTGTTAAATAAGTAATAGTATTCTTGATGCTAATTATATTTGTTTGTTATTATTGGGCACAAGTCTCAAGAATATTTTTGGTAATTTACGTGAGATGTGTTCATTAATACGCACGGTTGGTACTCCGTTGGTATTAAGATGTGTTTAAGTTGTGAAGGAGTGAGGACTGCATTTAAATAATTAGTCGCATATCAGCTTATTCAATTTAGAAGAGCGATGTGGGAGGTTGTTTTTATATTGTGTATGTAAAAGTTGTTCAAACAATTTGCGGGCAGATTAAATAAAAACACATTTTCTTTCTACAATGGGGGCCATCGAAATGCTTTTTTTTATGATTGAAGGATTACTTGTGGCCCGGAGGTATTTACAGTTTCAACATAACAGTTGGATAAGGCTCAGCAAAGAGGGGTCAGATTAGCTAACGGCTGCTCGAGCATCTCCAAAGGAGACCTTTTTTTTTTTTTTAACGCTGGGGAACCATTTACGGATACCCGGTCCGGGGGGGTAACGAACCGGGTTATGTCGGACTCCGGCGCCTCCTGAGAGGAAGAGGGGGACGAGAAGGTCCTCCACCTCCCCGAATTCCTCGCAAGAGACTACGCCTTGAAAAAGGCGCGCGAAGCACTTGCCCCGCAGAACGACTACCGACTAAACCCCATCGAGCTCCACCACACCGGCTACACCAGACCTACGGTACCGCAGTGCGCGCCGAAAGTCCGCCTTCGCCGGTACCCGTCCTGATGATAAGACGGGATTTCATCTCCGGGAAAATCCCGAAGGACATCATTTCGGGAGATATACCGAGGGCGGCGCACAGGAGCCACCTTGCACCGCCCCACCACCGGACCGACAGTCGAGTACCGGGCGCCCCCGCACCCGCCACCTGATAGTCCCTACGGGGGCTGAGCGGGAGCTTCACGCCCGCGCCGGCCATCCCGCCTTCTGCGCTGAGGTGCTGAAGAGGGATCCCACTCCCTTTCACGCTCCTCAGCCTCACGGGACGCCATTACCAGGTCACAAAACCTGGCCATGGCCTCCCACGAGCCCTGATCCTCTAACATGCGGGCGACGACAGCCCGCAGGGAGAGGTTTCTCCCCAGCACCGCGACGAGATCTCGCCGCGAGTGCTCCCAACGCGGGCACGTTTCGAGCGCGTGCTGCGCGTCATCGTCCGGGTGCCCGCACTGGTGGCAGCCCGG